ATTCTGCTTCCCATAATGTTATTTGAGAGGTAAGCTCTAGAAGGTATTATCATGTTGGGAGAAATTTTATCTTAAAAAGGTATTAGGTTTTATTTCCCCCTAGGTTTTATTACTTAAAGGTAATAAAAACTAGGGAAAAAAAAAAAACTAAAAGCAATGAAAGCAAAAACTAGATGTTCTTTTCTGCATGATTCTGAAAGGCCCCATTTTAAAAAATATCCATGTATCTATTCAGATAAGAAACTGGAACAAAAAATAGTGAATGAAACTCAGACATTTTCTGTAGCTTGGAGAGGGACATTTTTGTTATTCAGCATCAATTATGCAAAGAGAACTACTATCTGAATAAATGGTTTGATATTTTCAGATATAATGGAAAAACTTACCTGCTGAAATTTTGCAAGCATAAGAGAAGAGCTGAGCTACAGCATATTCCAAAACCACCTAGAGCACCCTCACCTCTAACAAGAGCTGTGAGGCAGGAGCAGACTTGCACCCTGCCCCACTGAAAGTGCCAGAGGTGCTTGTAATTCATGCCTGCTGTAAAAGGTAGTATATGCATATATAATTCTGTGAACGTCTGTGAAAGTGTGCAGGGGGATTAAAAGTTCTGAGATGAGCAGCAGAGGAGTGCTTAGAAATTATTGGTTGCTTATTAACATTTTATGGATGTCTAATGTTGCTGTCACCTGCTGTATTGCTGCTCTTGAACTGAACGTGTAGCTGGTTGATTGCTGATTAACTGTAATTAATAAATCAATAAATCACTAATTCTTTATTTGACTTAAACCACAGACCTGAACAGTTTTTCCATGTGACAATCATTAGGGAATAAATCATGAAGAGGAAATAAATGTTTGGGGTTTTTTTTCTAAGAATACAAGAACACAAAGACATTAAATGACAGTACCAAAAGATGGATTCAAATAAAAAAAAATGTTACTTCTTCAAACGATGTATAAAGAAATGTAATAAATATTTTCCAAAATATGTTCTGGATGCTAAATGGGTTAAAAGTCAATTGAAAGAAATTCATGGAAGGCAAATGGCTGTTAAATATAATACTTATACCTGCTGAACCACAAATTATTGATTATACAGAAGGTATTTGGTATTTGATTATACTGAATGTATATTAGTATATTGAATGTATTTGGTACATTAAAATGTACTATTTGAATAATTACACAGGAGAAGTAACACTACTTTTTGTGCTATTCTAATATTTTTTCCCCAGGCATTCACCAGTAGCCACTGGTAGAAATAAAGATGTCTGAGCAGTTGTCTGTTGTTTTCTCTCTCTATTGCAGGATTTTCTTTTCTCTACTAAAAACTAGTTCAGGAGCATTTCTGCCATGTTGCTTCAGTGCTGCACATAAATCTTTCTGTATGCCATAATAAATACCAAGGACATACTGAATTTTCACAAAACCACAAGTAACAAACTTTATAAACCAGTATGAGTCAAACTAAATTAAATTCCACTCGTTATGCTAATGGAGTTCCAAAGTCCCATCAAAGCCCAGAAACATTGGCACAATGTACAATTTATGTAACGATTCAGCGGAAAACCCTTAGAAGTGCTGCAGTAATGCTCTGCTTTTCCCCCACCACAGGAATGATCCACAAAACTACATAAAATTAGTTCTCAAATCAATGAATTTTCATCCAGACAAAACAAAGAAGAGGAGATGCCCATGAGCTGGCTTCCCTTCACTCTAGGAAAGCTTTATGCTGATGCACGTGGTAAGAGAGGAACAACAAGTGGCCCCCATTTGCCTAAGAATTAAGATTAAAAGCTACAGCCAAACAGTGAATGAAGAGCCATTCCTATGTGGAATTGGAAACCACTTGCTTTAAAGTGCTCTCACCTTTTTCTCCCTCTCTCTAGCAAATACTTTTAACAAGAAATAACAGACTTTTTCACAACACAGTTTTCTTCCAAAGATGAATTCTAGAATCACAAAGATGTAGGTGTCATATCCAAGAAGCCCAGTTTTAGGCCTATAAAAATACTTCTCAATATTACTCAAAGTTTGATCACAGTGACATCCTAATCTTTCCCAAGAAGGATAAAATAACACATCATAGCTTCACTTAGTTTCAGAAGGAAGTATTTTCACAGGAGTTCAGTGACAAAGCAGCACTTCTGAGGGTTCTGTTAGAGCTGTTTTCTTGGGAAGTGCCTTTAACTGTTAAAATATTGCACTCTATCAGACTATGAAGATACTTACCTTGTTTCAAAGACACATGCTGATGTCAAGGCAATGTGTTCCAGAGAATTCCAAAGCTTGAAACACATTTCACAGGGACAAAATACAGTCACTGGATTAACTTTTCATTGTAGTTAGGCATGGCACATGACCAAAGTGATCTTACCTTGAAATGCAGTATATGGAAGGGGTGAGTAGGACAGGAAGGATCAAACTAGACTACAATCTACTGGCAAACTACTAATCTGCTACAGGTTTTTTAGAAAATGAATTCTGGAGACATTGTATCAAAGAGTTTAATGCCAGTATCTTACAAAACAGTATTAAAAATGTTTCATAATCCCAACATAAGTATTGATTCCATTAACATTTTTATTGAATGACATTTACTCATTTTGATTCCTTTCTTCTCCTCTTCTCATTTTCAAATAGGATTTAAGTAACTATCTTGCTAGAAAATGAATGTCAATACTGAGTTTTGTTTACAAAAATGTCCCAGACCACCCATTAGCACAGAATTTAAGTAACAGTGCTATATGACAAGTCCCTATCTCTTCATTTGCCAGTTCAGCCCCCAGTAGTTGAAACAGTAATGCAATATCTTACAAAAATAACTTGCAAGACTTGTTTGTGTATTTTAGGGAAACTCCAGAAGTATTAACCTTGTCTTTTCCAAAAAGAATTCAGACTTTCTTGCCACTTTCTTTACTATTCCATCTGGCTTCTAGCTCTACCTCTTTTGAGAGATCACAGATGTGATTTTTTAGAAGGGAAAAGCACAGATCTCCTCCAATGAGGAGAAGCTTTGGCTCAGATACCAAAAACATATATATGCTTCACACAACAACAGAATATATTCCCCTTCCTGAGAACCTTAGAGTTAGATGACTAATGTAATGCAGTGTTTTGTAGGCAGATATAGAATCTTCTGTGTACTGCACAGTATAAACAAGTAAAAAAAGTTTACAAGTATATTTTCAAATTCTTTTCACCAAGGGTGAAAGCTAAAAGTTATCCCTGAACAGATACATTCTGACTCTAACTTAAGCTAGGCCAGATTCTGAGACTTGTGCATTTGCACATAATTGTGTGCCAAACACCAAAACAAAAAGTCAACCTTAAGGCCTTTGAAAAATGCCAGGCCATCACTTACCCAGGCCTGCATTTCCATTTACCTCTCATCAACTAACCCAAAATTTGGCAACTTATCTTTTCTTTAATTGATGCTGAGTACTCAAATATTTTACCAATGTATGAACAGAAGAAAAGTAGGGGGAATGAATATGGACTGACAGCAAAATTTAAAAATATGTATATTTGCTAATTTACCGACACACCTTTCATATAAGGCACAGTTACAAGTAAGCTGTCCTGCAACTAATATTGATGTATTGCTGATTCAAAGGCAAAGAAGATTACACTGTTACAATGTATAATTCATGTTGGCAACACAACATTACAATTTAATTAAGAGGCAAACACAGTTTACCTCCTCAGCCATTATTTTTTAAATCTGTGTCATACATGATAAACATGATTGTAAAAATGACTATATCAACAGCTTACGATTTCTCTTATAAAAGCTTCCCAAATCTAAACATTTTCTTCAGTCTTTTTCGAGAAATTGGCACTTAAATGCATGATAATGTATTTTGACTACATTAGAAGTTTTTTTAAGTAATAAAAATCAACCTGCCATCGTTCCGAAGTTTCCTGAAGAGGCTTAAAATGCATGTCCAGTAGTCTATTCTACTTTAGTGTTAAATAATGAGGTAGCACATTGTTCCAAAACTGTTCTGAATTATGTAAACCATTTGCTACACGCTGTTTGGACTTCATGGTTTGTTTAGAGCTGTTTGGTAAAGCAGTACTTTCTGTCTTTTCTGACTTCCTGGATTTGCTTTTCTTTTGTGGAAGCTTATTATGATAATTTTTTCTTTTATCTTTTGCTTTTTCCTCTTCCTCTTCTTCTTCCTCCTCATCCTCTTCCTCCTCTCCTACATCCCTTTCCTCTTCTTCTTCTTCCCCCTCTCCCTCTTCCCCTTCTTCTCCCTCTTCCCCTTCTTCTTCTCCCTCTTCCCCTTCTTCTTCTCCCTCTTCCCCTTCTTCTTCTCCCTCTTCCCCTTCTTCTTCTCCCTCTTCCCCTTCCCCTTCTCCTTCCTCTTCTTCTTCTTCTTCTTCTTCTTCTTCCTCTTCTTCTTCTTCTTCTTCTTCTTCT